TAAAAAACAAACATGTTTCATTGATACATATACAAAATGAATATTAGGAACTATATTTATCAAACATTATACTGGGCAAGTAAAAATTGTTTCTGGGCAAATGAAATGTGAAAGCCACCTGCCCGAAGGGCAAGTGGTAAAAATCCTTAACGTCAACCCCTGTAAGGTCTATATAAAAGTTATTTATAAAACTATCAATGTAAACAAACCTCATCATTACTTGACAAGATAGGTGGTGCAGAATTTGAGAAAGACAGTTTATATCATAAACGGCTTCTGTATGGTTGAAGCTAAAGAAGCTGTGAGGGGCGGTTCATGTTGTTGCAATCTGCAGTCTGACCATTAGATGTCGCTGAAAATCACACACTGTAGCTTTAATGACCTTACAGTGGGAATAACTAGTAATTGCAATTCTTTTACATTGTAATGTTACCATCTAAAATTTTGGACACTGGTATTAACAGTGATCTGTTAGAGAAGGCTCACAATACTAATGGAGACCCTTTGTCTCATTAGCTTCTTATCAACTGAATTCTTAAAAGATGAAAGCTCGTTCCTTTAAGATAAAGCGGGAATGTCAATTCCAGTCATTCATGCCAGTTGTATTTCCTAAAAACAGCATTCACAGTATTTAATCGGGACCAGGAGTCCCATTACTGCATGAAATATGATTGTGGATTTTGTGTTATGTAGTATTAAGTTGAAACAAAAAGTTGTGTTCTTTGAGTTCTTTATTGTAGCTTTGTTTGGACATTCTTGTGAAGCAGAAGGACTTGTCATTCTGCCTTAGGAAAGAAGTGTAAACAAGAATGTCAATTTTTCCTCATCTTCCATTTATATTAAGTTAAAATACCTAATTTTCCTGGTTTGGCTCCTCAGCAGGATTTGGCAGAAACAGGTAGAAGTGCTCCAGGTGCTGCAATGCACTTGGAGCAAACCAAAATGATCAGCAGGGTAGTTTCGGAGAAGTTGGGTCCAATTTGATGGGGTTTTAATGACTGATTTGAGATTTGTTTAATTGTATTCATTTGTTGTATGTATGTAAATATTATTTTGGGTGTATAGTTTATTGTTTTGCTGTAGGTTTGTATTTAAATTAATTTTACTTCTTTTTCCTAATAATCCCTTTTCATGGTTCCTTCCTTTATGACACCTGAAGTGAGTTGGGTATATCATGCTGTTTGTTCTTTTAAGTGTGAGGAGGTGCTGGTGTGAACAAGCTGGAGTTCAATAAAGCCACCAAAACATCCGTTTTGTCTTGCCTTTCAATTGAACACTCTGCCTGTCAAGCTGACAAAAGTTCAGTTAACAATGTTTCATTTTTCATCATATTTAATCGTATTAAAAACATAACATTAAACGTATAAGGACTTAGATTGGGTTTTCTCTGTTGAAGTTGAACATAATGCCATAATAGTAAGGTTCATTCTCATGCCCAAGCTTTTGCAAGTCCAGTGGCTTTAGCAGAATTGCTAAAGCATGAACTAGAGAGAAAAGTACTTGTTTTGCATTTAGAAAGTTGCAGTTTTTATTGCAGTTTCACACCCTGCCACATTGAAACTGAGTCACTGGGCAAGGCATTTGTCCCCAAAGTATTTACAAATCTGTGTATGAATGTGTGTATGTTTATGAATGAGCCTCAGATGTGAAACACATTAATGCCTAATACTAGATAGAAATGCTATTATGATTTCCTCATAATTTAAACCTCAGTTAATATGTTAACCTATGTGGTCAGACTAACTGTACTCAACTAATCCTTGAATCTTAAAAAGTACACAAAACAACATAGTCTGTTCTCAGTGTACATTGTTTAGGTGACTGTTTGTTAAGACAGTGAGTTATGTGTTTAGAAGCTTAAACGTCAGATTATTATAGCGCAAGGAAAAAAGAAACAAATGGTGAACGCATATAAACCCTGGATTTTAAATATGTCCAACCCAAATAATTTCAAGATTTGAGTTACATGAAAACAGGAGCACCATATTCACGTAACATGTGGCATGATGTCTGGATTCAGAGCTTTTAAAGGGAATTAAGGTCAGCTCTTTGAAGCATTGGGAACAGTAACAGTACACTACAGATCACAGCCAATGTCTTACTTTAACTTCCAATGAGTTTCTGAAATGGGGGGTATGGTTTATGACAATATCTGTCTGTGCCCCTTAAAAGTTTGTAAAGTTTCCATTAACATTTTTTCATTAATTAATTTTATTTCTCAAACAACTGGTTATATTTTAGTCTATGTCTTCAGACTGTTAAAATACCTTTAAATTGATGCTGATATTGACAAAAGCTTTTGTTTATAGTCAAAATCAGATATGAATATTAATAACTGTAAAATATATTTTTTATTTTATTGTAAATGTTCCCCTGATACATCTGAATTTTCTCACTGTACACAAACAAAGGTTCTATTCTATTCTAAACTATTTTATTCTAGTCTATTCTTTTTACACATAATATAAAATTGTGCTTGAAAGTTTTATATTCCTTCCATTAAAGAAAATAAGTTCACACTAGCAAGTTAAATAACACAAAACTGGGGGAAAAAAATTAATAAATAGAATCTTTACTTTACTTAATGATAATTTAGTAAAATTAAAGTATTCATTTTAAATTCCGCATTTAACTTTTTCCTCAGTAAGGTTTACCAAAGGGATTTCACTCAAGGGTTTCAATCAAGTTAATTTGTTTCTTTATTTTCTTTATTTTTTATTTTTTTACATCATACTGTACATGCTGTACATTTCCTTAGCATCTGGCTAGAATTCTGACCTCTACCAAGGCCAAGAAGACACTTTATTACTTTATTAATATCTCACCTTTACAAAATTATAAACACTTTTAAAAGCAAATAAAATAATAAAATCATTTTTTTTTTTAATCGGTAATATTCAAGAAACACATTTAGTTGCTTTTTAATGGAAGATTGATGCAACATAAAAAATAAAATAAAAAACACTGGGCATCTTTATGCATGGAGTTTATATTTCAGCCCATCCATTTGTGAGTTTGCACCAGTAAACCAGTTAATTTGGCTTTATACATTTCCATTAAGGATTCAAATGTTTACATGCATAGTTTTATTTTCCCCCTCGTTTCTGCATTGCTCTCTTGTTTGGTTCATTTTTCTCCATGACTGCAAGGATAAGCTGGTACTGAAACTGGATGAAGGTATCAATGCACTGCTTATACAGTTTCATCCCAGTAGTGTAATGTAAAATATAAACAGGTCTGAGCTCTAGACAGTTGATTATCATAGCCTGTATATTTTGGGGTAATTAACCGGGATTGATTCCCGACCCGGGGTCCTTCAGCATGGGGGTCGCATGTTCTCCCTTGGCATGCATGGGTTCTCTCAGGGTACTCCGGCTTTCTCCCATAGTCCAAAAACATGACTGTTAGGTTAATTTGCTTCTCTAAATTCTCCTTAGGTGTGAGTGTGTGCGTGAGTGGTTGTTTGCACCTGTCCCACCGCGACCTGTCCAGAGAAGACCCCGGCTCTCGCCCATAGACTCGCCCATAGACATTCACTCAATTACATTTATTTATAATTGTTATTTTTTAATGTACTTTAAGGAGAAGTTTTTCTCTATTGTACTTTTTAATTTTACTTGAGTAAAAATATAAGGATGTGTCACTATCCTAAGTTGATTAAAATTCCTCTCTACTCTCTTGTGTCTTCTTTGTTTTAATATTATTTTCTATTTGCTGATCCTGCCATGTCATGTTTCGGTTAAGTGAAGATAAAACAGTTTACTGAATCACATTACTGGAAGTAACTTATCATATTCTCACCCACTTATATAACATACTATCCATAATGATGTCAGTAATTTTATAGTAAACATTTCTTCCACCTGAAATTATTATTGCTGGTTGTTATGTATTAATTTTTTCATTGTACACTGACATCATTTTTAAAACATTAAATCAGAAGTTATGATCAGTTACTTAATAGGCTTACTTGGGTCGCCTTTTCATAATTACTTTATTACTCTAAATCGAGTAAAAATATGACCTACTGCTACTTTTCCTGGAGTACAACTTTTGGGTACGCTACCCACCTTTGAAAATTATCAAAGGTCCATTTAAGATGCCTCAGAATACAGAGTCGTAAAGATGTCTGAAATATTTCTTACACTTTGAATGAACTTGCATTAATTTAAATGTGGGAAACACTGGGGCAGAAGAGCTACATAAATCCCACACGGTTATGTAGCACTTTGATCTTGGCATGGTAAAGTACCCTGCCTCTTGGCCAGTGTTAGCTGAGATCCAGCCAAGATAACTATATGGATATATGCAATGGATGGATGGATGGATGGATGGATGGATGGATGGATGGATGGATGGAGTAAATATATAAATAAAGTACATATACTAGTGTGTATATATATAAGAAATTTAAAACTGTGCAAAAACTGTTGTACAATGCTGCCACCTAGTGGGCAAAGTCTGCAAGTATTAGGTAATAACAAAATATATTTATTTTAAAAAGTCATTCAAATGATAAATTTGCTATTTGGTAATTAGCATTTTACTCTTTTAAATTGAAAGATAAATGTATAGGCTGCCAGTATTTATTTTTGTCCTTACCCCACATAATTAGGTAAGATTATAGTTGAAAAGATTTAGTTAGTTAATACTAAAATTCATCTCAGATCTTCACATAAATATCAGGTAGGAAGTAGAAAGGAAATTGTTTAAAATGTGTAAAAAAAAAAATCTGTCAACTGCGAAATGGCGGTTCTTCTATTTAAAGTTAATTAAAGTCACACAGGAAGAGATCAAGCAAGTTTGCACACACACCCTGCACACACACCCACACGCAAACACGGGTCTGCACCTCGCTGTCAGCCTCTCATCATCATCGCTGACAGGAAGAAGCGCTCGTTCGAGTCTCTCACTGCAGCTTCTACTCCAGCTACCAATATTTCAATCGGATCCTACCACAACTGCTACTCTACTCCTTTTGTTGCATTCTTCTGCGCACATTTTTAAAAGTTTGAAAGTTTGAAAGGGAACTACCGCGAAGGACTCAGTGTTGGGAGAATCTAAATCAGTGAAAGTTGGAGATGACTTCTGGCGTGGAGTTGGGGCAGGACATAAGCCAAGCAGAATTAGACTTTTCGGACCTGTTTCTCTACAGCACACCAGGAGATTTCCCTGTTGGCGGTGTTAAAGGTATTTCTAAAGCTTTCAGTGTTCCTGCAGTTTGTTTATGTCTTTCACCAAATTGTTGGGTTAAAAATGTCGTCAAAATAACAGTTTAGGTCATTACATTTTATGCTGCTTTTATTTATCAAAGAAGCAATGTTGTTTATTTGCAATTGTCCATATAACGGTTTATTTAGTCTGCACAACATTAACTATAGGTTAATTAAATCATAATAAATAAAATCATAGCAGAACCAGGTTTTTAAAGGTATCCCTTCGTTTAGTCTGATTGATTATAGATTATTCTTTAAGAGTTTGAAGTTTTTGCGTGAAATTTAAAAGGGACCTTTATGTAATACTAAAGCAGCTCCCTGTTATTATAGTATATGATCACCACAGGCTTAAATGTATCCTCTGTTTGGTTCCCAACAGATGACCCAGGTGCTCTGCTTCAGAATAACAGCCAGCCTCCCGTACTGTTGGTCGATCATCACGCCACAAACATCTCCGATTTGGTCAATTCAGCGTCCAATCAGAACACCTTCCCTCAAAGCCACAACTCTGACAATCTACCAGGGGCTGTGTTTGAGTGCCTGGGGCTAACGTCAGGAGCCAGTAACATCCCTGCCCCCAGCCCCAGGATTGAGATCACTCCATCAGTTGATTCGCTCAACTCTCATACCCTGGAGCCAAGCCCTGGCTCTAAAGCTTTGGGGGCCTACAGGGAATGTGTTAGCCCGGCTAGTAGTAACTCCTCCTCAGGTTGGCCTGCGGACAGCTGTTCTCCCTTGAACTCACCAAGTGTCTCCCCTCCTAATGGAGGCAACTATGGCATCTCTTGCTCTGCCTTGGACCTGTGTCCAGGCTTTCAGAGCATCCATACTTCCTCTGCACACTCCTCTCCCGGAGCATCTCCTCGGAACAGCATCACAGATGAGACCTTCCTGCAGCCACATCACCAGCGCAACCCCTCCCCACTTCCCCACCAGCGTTCCCGATCCACATCACCACAAGGAAAGCGTTGTCTTGACCAGACCCACCCCTGCCAGGGGGGTACACCTGTCAAGCAGCGCTCTCGGAGTCCCAGTCCCATCCCATCGCCCCATGAGCAGCAGAGGCCGTACTACATTCACCAATATCAGGCCCAAGCAGATTTTCAGCCCCATGTTCCGGCAGCACCACAGGGTCTGGAGGAGATGCTGAACACTCTCAGTTCAGACTTGACCAGAGATGCACAGCACCCAAGGCAGGACTGTGCAAATGAAGACAGGCCTAATTGGGCCATTGAACAAGAGTGGATAACCAGATTTGGAGCTGACGTCAAACCTGAGCCTTTCTACATTCTCCCTGTCTGGCCGCCCCCTCAGCCAGTACATCAAGCTACAGGGTCCCCATTCAGGTGCTTGGTTTGACCTTTTTATTTGGTTAAAAGAAAATGTTTGGTATACAGATGTAGAGGTAGATACCAAAAAGAGGTAATTCTAAATTTAATGATGTTAGATGGTTTACAAATGTTTGTAATTCCCACATTCCTCATTCCCACAGTGGTCTCTCTGTAGCACCCCTTCCCTCCTTAGAGTGGGCATTGCCCTCTCAGTCTGGCCAATACGAGCTACTGATCCAGCAGCAGCCCCGTTCACACCACAGAGCTCATTATGAGACTGAGGGCAGCCGGGGAGCTGTCAAGACACCCAATGGAGGCCATCCTGAGGTTCAGGTGTGTATGTCCAAATGCAAATCAAGCTTGAGAGAAAGAAAGCGACTTTTCACTTTGCAGATTCCTAGGAGAAAAGCAAAAGAGGGAGTAAGAGGTTGTAAATGAGGCCAATATTTCCTGGTTTCGTGTTGATGCGAAGCTAACAGCCATGCAAACTAGTCTGTCCTTCTCTTGGTGATATAGTTTAAGCTGAAACAAATGTAGGTCGGACAGCGAGTATGTTATCACAACAGACAAATATTGACACAAGATTTTGTTTACTGCTGTACTGGGTTCAATGATGGCTTACTGTTGGTTTTCCTGCCAAATAGACTCAGGTTTATGCAAAGCAGTGCTGAATTCTCTTCACGGAGTTATTCTTGACTGTAACAGTCTACTATAGCATGTCTTGTAGTTCTGTTATAGTATTCCATGTGTGTGTAAACTCTTTTGTTGTCTTCTAAAGCTTGTTGGATACCAAGGCACAGCTCCAGTTGGGCTGCAGGTCTTTATTGGCACCGCAGATGAGAGGCTGTTGAAACCCCATGCCTTCTACCAAGTTCACCGCATCACTGGGAAAACCGTCACCACACCCAGCTTGGAAAGGGTGATCAATGGGACGAAGGTTTTGGAGATCCCTTTGGAGCCAAAGAACCACATGAGAGTGGTGTAAGTAAAGTTGGCGCAGGACAATTTAAACCAAAAAGAAGAAAGTCTAACTTAAATTTAAAGTTTTAGCAAAATTACAACCCATCTTTGCACTTCAGTTGTCGGTTACCTCACAGAGGTGTCTCAAATCTGCAGACACCTCTGTGCAGAGTCTTTGCATGTTATCCAACCTACAGATGGGGAGATATGTTAGCATAAGCAGCCTGGGTTGTTTTTTTGTTGCTTTTTCATTGCACCAAAAGCTGTAATTGAAAAAAAAAAATTAGCCACAAAAACCTTGGCTGCTCAGGAGGGCGATAAGTTTTTTCAACATTTTTTACTCCTAAAAGAGGCTGCTGTTAACGCGGACGGAAACATGAAATGCATCACTTCCTGTGTGTTGGAGAGATTTTCCAAGAAACACCTATCAGACTTGGTTTGTTTGCAGTAGCATACATGTCTGATGAGTCACAAAAAATATCTGTTGCAAAAGAAAAAAAACATTTTTTGACAGTAAAACAAGGTCAGGATGGCTTTTACACATACCAAAGGGCAAGTGCTATACAGGAACACAGAATCACCAGAATTAGTAAGAATAAAGACTATCTATAAATAAAAAAAAACATATTTTACAAATGTAATTAGTGAATCAATTAAACTACATTGATTATTATTAGACATAATGCAGCTGTTGGGATCTATTTAGATCTTTTTTGCAGCAAATTAAAAAAACAAATTGTCAGAGAAAGTAGACGGCTGCCTCCAACCTTTTTTTCTCATCTTTGTTTGTTCAGGATTGACTGTGTTGGAATTTTGAAGTTAAGAAATGCAGACATTGAACTGCGAAACGGCGAGACAGACATTGGGCGGAAGAACACGCGTGTTCGTTTGGTTTTTCGAGTCCACATCCCTGAACCTGGAGGCCACCTAGTTTCTCTTCAAGTCGCTTCTAATCCAGTCGAATGCTGTAAGACATGTTCAATATATATATATATATATATATATATATTATTTTATTGAGTTGTTTATTTATTGTGTGTTATCATCTTCATGGCGGTGCTGCTATGTGTATTTGTTGTCCACAGCTCAACGCTCGGCTCAAGAGTTCCCAGCAGTTGAGAGGCAGGACCTGGACCGCTGCTCTGTTCTTGGTGGTCAGCAAATGGTCCTGACTGGACAGAATTTCACATCCGACTCCAAAGTGATATTTTCTGAGAAGGCGCAAGGTGAGAGCTTCTTTTTAAGCAAGTAAATGTCTGTTCCATGACTTTATGTCTACCCAAAATTCTTTTTTTTCTTCTTATTGCTCCCCTTTATGCAACTAAAATAACAAGCACAATGGAATTTTATTATAAAAATCGATATTTGCAAACATGTATGTTTATGGGTATCTGCAGGCTTGCAAGTTCAAACTAAATCTAAATCAGCTCTTATGGTACTCAACCTGAGTCCCAACAAAACAATCACATTTCTAACGAGGGTTAAACAATCTTTTGACAAAAAAAACAAAAGGTTGCAAGTACCCGGTTCGACCCCCACAGCCTGCACTCTGGGTCTCAGAGCAAAACCCTTAACTCCACACTGCTCCCCGGGCGCCGCACAATGGCAGCCCACTGTACCCCAAGAGGATGGGTTAAATGCAGAGGTAAATTCCTCTGGTGTGAGATCAATAAAGTTCAATTATTAAAATTAAGAATGGGTGAAATTCTGTGCATGGACACAGATGGAATTTGTTATGCTCAGAATATTTAGTAGTTACTTTCTAATTTTCAGTCATATATCTTGGCATGGCTTTACTTACTCTTACTATGAACCTGAATCATACAGTGTCTCCCGAGGTCAAAAATAAACAAATTAATAGAGAAATTGGTGGGTGTTGGAAGTCGTTCATGTTGTTTGCTGAGTTTTTGTCACTTTGTTTTCTTCTTTGTTTTTTTTTTTTTTACCTGCAATTCTCATGTGGTTATTTTTGGCTATAAAATCATTGGTGCGATTAAAATAGACCAATAATTTGTGGCCTTGCTGCATCCTGCCCAAATGTGCCCACCCACACCTGTAGTGTCTTTATTTTTAGATTATTTGCATAATACCTGGGAAACGGCTCAGTTCGTCCTACACAGCTTTGACAAAACAAACCGCATTTTCAAACTATTACATATTTGCTGGAAGTGACAACTTTTATTTATGTTTAAATGGAAATGTATCACCTTTTTGGCGCTCCCCCCTGCCCACACAGATCTGCCTGGCTGTTCGGCTGTAGAGCTGGATAGGTACAGTCGGCAGCATGTGAAGCTTCACTGTTGCTTGGCGTGGGGTTTTGTGCAACAGGATGTGGTTAGACAGGCTGATAAAGATTTAGACCTAGAGCAGAGGCTTTGTTTTTTTTTCACTGCGTGGGCTGAACAGAGACGTGGAGGTAAAAACAGAGGTGGGTATGTAACACTAAAACAAAAAAAAAAAAAGAAAAGCAACTGCTTTCCATTGCTTGTGAACAAATGTTTTAGCATAACTGATGAAATGAGATTAAAAATCCAAACAAATCCACACTGGGAAAAAAATGAAATCTAGATAAGTATTTTTTTCTTAAAATAAGTGCATTATTTCTTGGATTGAGGAAGTAAAAGAGACATTTTGCCAATGGAACAAGACAATTTACATTTAAAATAAGAAAACACTATGATAATTGTCTTATTTCAAATGCATTTTATCTAAATATCTTATTTCAAGGGTAAAAATACTCATTCCATCGGCAAACTATCTCAGTTACCTACTCAAATTAAGGGTAAATACGCTTAATTTAAGACCTTTTTACTTATTTCTAAATCGTTTTTCCAGTGCAAGTTTCCTTTCCATGATATCGAGTTTAGGTTTTTAATATGTGATTTTAAAACCTAACTCTTAAGCAGATGAGCAAAAAGGGGTTCCCTTTTTCAAGATGTAAAGGTCTTTATTGGTTTGTTTTTTTTTATTACTAGAAAACCAGCCAGGCTGGTTTTCTAGTAATACGACCACCAGGTAAAGCAACATTCTTCTAAGGTCTAATGCTCACATTTGTTTGGTGGTTTTTCTGACTTTCTTACTACATTTTTTTTTTTTTTTTGCTTGTTTGTTTTTTAATCATACCTTTTTTTTTTTCATATTTTCACTCCCAAAAAGACCTGACACAGGGCCCTTAAAAATATATCACTTAATAATCTGTTGTGTGACATCTTTTAAGCTCTTAGCTCTTGAGGAAGAACCTTGGTGGTGCTTAAAGACAATATCATGTCTGTCAAACAGTTTAAACACTGCTATTTTTTACAGGTTTTATAAAAGGAGAAAGAAAAAAAAAACTATATCTTTGTGACTGGCTGTTAAAGTGATCCTTTCTTTCTATAATTTTAGCAGCCCTGTTTTGTGCCTTATATTTAGGGTCTTTTTATGTCTCTGTTGGGTTAAACCTTAAAACAGGTCATCTGAAATTGCTCAGAGAATATTCATATGCTAAACTGAAAATGCATGAAAAGGGAAATTAAAGGGCTTTCAAAATGACAAGTTTGGATAAAAAAACAACATGTTTGTGAATTACTGTGCAAATATATTTTGACAAAACGATTAAAACCACCCGCATTTTTCTCCTTTTTTTAGATGGAAAACAACTCTGGGAAGTGGAGGCAACTGTAGACAGAGACAAAACCCAAGCTGTGAGTCAATCAACTGGATGGGTTTGACATGTGTATGCCACACAAGAGTATACATTTGATGGTGCCCCTTTTCAAGATGGATAAAAAGAAACTTAGATAGATTCATATTTTACTGCAGCAACATTATCTTGAACAAAAGAAGTCTACAAATTAATGCAAAATAACATTTTGGATACATGTATTCACTGATTGATTAGCTTTCGTGCTCCTAATCTTTCCTTGGAATTTTTTTTTACTGTTTTGGAGTTTGTGATGTCAATCCAGGTCTTCCCGGGTTCTCCAAATCATCTTATTCATTTTGTTTCATTTTTTAGAATATGCTGTTTGTTGAGGTTCCTCCCTATCGAAAACGAAACATTTGCCAGCCGGCTAAAGTCAACTTCTATGTCATCAACGGAAAGAAGAAGCGCAGCCAGCCTCAACATTTCATCTATACTCCTGTGATCGGTGCGTATCTCTCAGCTCTCATTCTAGAAGCAGAAACAGGTTTATCCAACTGCAAGAAAAAAGAGCATGTTGAATCATGACGCACTTTAGCTCAGTTGGGCTATGAAGAAGGTAGTTTTGGCAGACTAAGAAAGATGTTGAGATGAGTGTAGCTTACATGTGTTTTTTTTTTTACTCCTCTCATACTAAGTCAAGGGCGATACAGGAAATTCAAACACTTGATCCAGATTAAATTGAAAAAGCGTCAATCTAAAAATAAACAGATATAGATAACATCGAGAAGCTTCCTTTTAACATTGCTGTGATAAACCTGATCACATTCTGATCAACCAGACTATTGCTGTTTGCAGCAAACAGCAGTAAACGGCTCATTCTGGGAACAAAAGGCATGTTTGCCCTGAAGGGGAAAACCTGTCACTCAACTGTTCAAACAAATACTAAAAATATTTATTTTCTCATTAATTTACTACAAGCACACCATTTGCCAAAGGCTGAAACCTATACATTTAAATGTATTTTTACACCTTCCAGGAAGAATTAAAAACACAAACCTCCCTTTGAAGGAAATGGTTTCTTACAAGCCTTATCATAACAGAAGCAATATCTTAAAATCTTAACATCTGCTGAATAATTAGGAGGAGTGTATTTTTCCGTTGTAAACCATCTAAATTGTCATTTTTCGGACTAACAAATTTAGAAAAAAATAAGTATTCTTCATTCTTATAAATTCTAGGTAAATTTAACTCTAATTTCTTATCAATCTAGAGATAAAAAGTGGTAAATAGCCTTAAAGTGTTTGGTGCAGACTCAGCCTTATCCCAAAGCTGTGTGAGAAACCTCAGTATTGGCCTCGTTTTTTTAGCCATAGAAGTTACGGCTGGAAATGCACGTTTTCAGCCCGCAGTGACTTCATTCGCTATTGTTGATATGTTGTCACAGCTGCAGTCTCCTCATTGTGTTTGCTTATTCTCACCTATCAGTGTACTGATGTCAGGTATACATTGTCACGTGTTGATTGTCTTTATTTCCTAGCAATTAAAGCAGAGCCTCTGGATGACTACCATCTGGATGCTTACAACCGCTCAGATAATCATCAGCAATCTTCAATGAAGTCCTATTACCACCACTTGGAGCAAGACAGTCATCCTCCGACCTTGAATGTTTCATCAACACTCTACCATCTATCCACCGTAGACCCCAGAGGCCACATGATACCACCAGATTCTCTTGATGAGTCAGCTTATTACCAGTCCAGATCTGGTAATCAGGTGCATCACAACTCAGTGATGTACCACACCGCAAACCAGTTCTACAGCAACTGCAGCACCAGCTTGATGCCCCATCCTGTCCCGGCTCCCAGTCAGTGTGTCAGTGTCCGCAGCCCCATGCCCAAACTGGCCGACGGTCCACAGGTTGGGGATTCATTCGAAGCCTGTTTGGTGTCAAGGCATCAGGGTTTTGTGACGCCTCTAGGAAAGTCGCCACCTTCAAGATATGTTCAAGTGAAGGCAGCAACCCCGATTCCACCAATCGGCCAATCTCTCACTCAGATCGGATCTGCTAAAGGAAACTATGACAACAAGGCTTCAGAGAAGATAACCATTAAGCAAGAGAATCTTAGCTATGCCTACCTAGAGGATGGTGAGTATTAATGTTTTCTAACATATAAACACTCAAAAAAAATTATTAATAAAAAGGCAGGGGTGCTACTCTAGCCAATATAACAGCCAAAAAAGGTTTTTTGAGTTACAGTTCACATATAACTATCGTTGCGCCAATGCCATTTTTTGGCCCCAATACGATACCCGATACTTGGCTGTGCATTATTGGCCGATACCGATACCCTCTGTTTGAAATCAATGTATGTGTGTGTGTATATATGAAGAACTGCATACTAATTGGATGTAAAATAATTGCCATCAATGTTTTGTCAAACTGCTGCCTACCTTTGTGAAGCAGGAAAAAGACTAAGACAAAGTGAATCCAGTAGAACTTTTTATTGCCTACCTGCAATGGGTGACAATAGTTGAATAAACTTTTGGCTCTCAAAATGGTATCGGTGCCCTATTTGTTTCGAGGCCCCGCCCGATACTGGTATCGGTATCGGTGCAACACTACATATAACACCTTCATGAACGCGGATTTGGTGAAGTTTGGAATTTAAAAAATAAAAACGATATGTTCTTATTGCAAAAGTCAAACTCAAAAGTCAAAAGGATCCAATCCCCAAGGCTCATGCAGTGTAGAGGACCTATCTTATTCTATGAAACATCTGCACACGTTTTCTATTGTTGGTTCTTTCTATACGGTATGGCCTTTCTTAGAAGAACAATTAAAGTGTGAAAAAGGTGCGTCCCCATTATTCGATTATTGTATCAATCTAAAAAAAGTTGTTACTTGGTTAAAGTAGTCTGACCCCAGCTATTAAGGGTGTGGTAAAATCTTTCCACTTGCACCAGGCCTCAGATTACTGTAGCCCAAGTACAGGATTGAGGATTGCCTTGTCCTTTGAGTTTATGATGAATAATGTTTTTGACTAAATTATCAGATTTTTTTTTCTTTTTTTTGTACATTAATTATAGGTTTTGATTTGATGCAACGATTTTGGACTCATTCTGTGTTTTCTGGCCAGATACTTAAAAAATTCACTGGCACAAAAAAAGAAAACAATTCTGACAATCATCTTAAATCAATAAACCTGTTATATGATCTTCTAATAAATCAGATTTCCACATAATGTTTAGTCTAGATCCTACTGAATAGATTTGTAATATGAAAAAAAGGGCAGATAACTAAATAGAGTCTAAGAAGTAAGCTCTGAAGCCAGGGGGATGGGTATTTGTGGTCCGTTCCGCAATGCAAACTAGCACCGTGCAACTATACATTTGCAAATCCTTCCATGTGGTTTTCTGACAGGCCTCTCTATCCACATTCCTGTCTGTTTCAGTCTCACTCTCACTGTCTCTTTCACACACTTTATGAGTCGTACCGAGTTCACCAAGTTTCCCTTTTAGTAAACCATCATATTAATCCTAACATTTGTGATTTAAAAGAAGTTTGACTTTTAAGAAGTAAGAAGATTTCGATATGGGAGAAAGTTTTTTTGTTTCACCTTTTTGGAGGTTGACAGAAACGGGAAGTAAACTGTACACATGCAAATATATGCTGATACACATGCCATTAAAAATAGTAATAAATAAAACCACTCACCTCTCAATCTGGTCATTGTTACTAAGTAAGGATTTTTTTTGGGGGGGGACATATGATATACTGTCAATTTTTTAAGATGGTGTAAAAAACAAAACTAAAAACTAAAAAGACAGCACAAACCAAGCCAAAGAGATGTTGATGTAACTGCAGATTTTTCTCCACACAGTGAGAGTCAGTCATCAGTGGACGGTTGTAGGTTTTAATAAATCATTTCTATGGGAGACCTCGGTGACTGAGGTCAAACAAGCGCCAACCACAAACCTCAACATCCCTGGTTCAAGTCTACTGAGGGCTGTTTGTATGACTCCCCACCTTTCACTCATCGTTTCCTGAATTATCTCCACTGTACCTTGAGCCATTTTAAAAACCAATGCAAGATGAGACTGTGGTGACACCTATAGGCAGCATCAACTAAAACAACCTGACCTGAATAGAAGGTACACAGATTAATTGCTTGTTTTCTGTTTTCTAGTAAATGACATCATAAGAAGAGACATGAAAGGCCACAGTGGAAACTGATCCTGCGCCACTTTAGAGTATCTGAAGACCAGTAATTATACACAAGATATAAAATATAAAGCAGAGCGTAACCTGCAAACACCGGACGCTTGATGCTATCCTTTTCAGAAATATATTAAAAGCTGATACAATATTGTTTTTTTTTTGTTGTTCGTTGTTGTTTTTTAACATAGTATGACATTACTGTTGTATTCACCAAGAGTAGCAGTTTAGCTGTTTAAATGCCTAATAGTCGACCATTTATAAAGATATAATCTGTATCTATTTTGCCTCTCGTCATTTCATTTTTCTCTGTTCATATTATTGTATAATTGCTCTTTTGGAAATGTAGAAACTATTTGATATTAAATAAATTGTGTTTATATGAATTTTTGTGTTTGAGTGTGAAGGATGAATACCTCAATTTGAATATCTAAAGGAAATGAATGCTTGATGATAGGGAGAGTTCAAGAATCAAGTACCCTGATATCTTAAGGGTGAATTTATGACCCCTTAGGCGGTGACATTTTTATATTCACCTCAGATCATGCACAAAGTGTGATCTCTCCTCTATTTAAACAGAATATTTTGTATCCCTGGCTGGTAAAAAGGGCAGCATTTCTGTGTTTTATGAACTCACTTTAAAATGATGGTAATACCAGACTTTCAGCCTGCAACCCCTTCAGATTTCTTGGTGGAAAAGAAATCCAGAGGAAAAAATCTCTGAATGTTATCTGTACATTTCTTTTATAATCCAGATTCATTGAGTTAATTATTATATTAATTGTTAAAAAAAAAAAAAAAAAAAAACTATTAAATCCTTCCTTTTCTATTTTCTTTACAGAAACATAACACTAAAAAAGACAATTGAGTTTTAGAAGCAATAAAAAAAACTAAACAATAAAAATTCTAACTCACCACTGTTGGAGTTTGATTTAAATAACATTTTTCAAAGTAATATCTTAGTTAAGAAGTTGTTCTGTTCAGATTCCCAACTTAAATTGGATGGTATCTGCACAGGGAGCTGAAGATTTACAACCTCAGAGAGTTGTAGCTTATCCCCAAATATAAAAATGTATCAACACTAAAAGCAGCACTGATCAGTGAATACGTTCTGTTAGAAAAGGAAATAAACTAGGTCTATAGGTATCTCTGCTTAGGAAATGGTTAAGCTGGTGAGCTCTGAGACAGTTTTCAGGTCAAAGGTGATACAGAGAGCACAAGCAGTTAGAAGTAAAAACTGAGCCCATAACTATTTCTAGGAGAGAAGAAGAACTGAACACCGAAAAAGAGGCCCAAAATCATAAATTGAAGGTGTTGAAGACTCCTTCCTAGATGGTTTCACAGCTAAACAGCGTGCCTGGCCAGATGTAGCTACAATGGCGAGAAAAAACAGAGAGTCAGAGGTTAGACTAATAAATAATGCAAAACTTGACAATAGAGTTAGAACGTAGCAGAGAGAGGAAAAAGTGGTCCCTATGTCCTCCTTCGGCCTAAGCTATAGCAGCGTAACTATAGAGATAGCTCAAAATAACCTAAGACACTCTAACTATAAGCTTTATCAAAAAAGAAAGTTTTAAGCCTACCCTTAAAAGTAGACAGGGTGTCTGCCTCACGGACTAAAACTACCAGCTACCGGTTCCACAGGAAGGGGGCCTGATAACTAAAAGATCTGCCTCCCATTCTACTTTTAGAAATTCTAGGAACCACTAGTAAACCTGCAGATTGAGAGTGAAGTGCTCTGTTACAAACAATCAAAAATCAGATAAAAGAGGGCAAGGTGGTAGTGCAGGGGTTAAGCAAATGACCGTTGTACAGAGGCTTTGGTCCTCAGCGTGGCTCGACAGTAGGAGTATCGGCCTGTTGACCTTTGCAGCAAATCTTCACCCTTTCTCTAGTCCCATTTTTCTAGCTGCCTTAAAATCATAAAGACCACTACTCACTAAAGTAAAGGAATCTGATATCAGATTGAGCTTCACTATTTAGGGATTTATAGGTGAGAAACCGGTTTCATTAGGGATTTATTCCTGATCTAACCACCAGGTTTTTTTGTTTTGTTTTTTTTTATTAATTTTATGGTAAGCCAAATAATTAATGCCATCCAGATGAAGTGACCTGTATGACCAAACCAGAAACTGTTTAAACAGTCTCCATTCTTCTTTTTAGTCACACCCTTGGAATAAATATATTTCTGCACACTGTAGTATTTGCATTCACTTATATATATATACCATTTATTTGATCTTGTTACTTCATCTTTGTGTTTTTGTAGCCGTGGGAGAATTAACAAAATAACACATTTTTGCAAGAACGTTACTAAAGTAATAATTTCGTTACAAAAGAAAAAAATTATATTAATAATATGATATGTTGTAATAATAATCTAAATAATAATAAATATCCAACGTAATTATTATCTATTTTGAGTTACTTCGAGATTAAAACATATCAGTTAAAATAAATAAATAAAAATAATAAATATTTCATGGCTAAAAAAAAACAACAACAAATCACCGGATGACCGCTAGAGGTCAGCATGCTCAAATCAATTTTCTCTGTGGAGGGAAGAAGACGACATGTTGAATACGTCACTTCCGGTGTGTGTGGTTTTTTTTTTTCTCTCTCTTTTTTTGATAAATTCTCTGTACAATTCTTCACATTTCTTTGCGTATATAAATTTGAAGACTAAATAAATAGTCAAGACTTTCTTCTTTATTGGTGAGTTTCTTGCTGCCCGCAGTCTCGATCGGATTTAACGCAGATTTACTTCCGTCCAGCTTTTTGTTTTACCAGATCTTCCCTGTGGCTACAGATCGGCTCTGCAGCTCCTCTCTATATGTCTTATTTCCACAGGATAACACATAGCGAGCTGTGTATTATTCTGTGTTAGCAACCTGCACCCTTTTAACACTGTTGGTTAACCTCACTGCTGTTTGTTGGCAGAATGTTCACCGGATGAAATAAATCCAAACACAGCAGCATCATGTCTGCAGAGCTGGACCTGTCCCCTCCTGAAGTACCTGAGCCCACCTTACTGGAAAGCATCCTGCGCTATGGGCTGTTCCTTGGAGCCATCTTCCAGCTGATCTGTATCCTGGCTGTCATATTCCCCTCATCCAAGAGTAATGAGCAGGTGGGTAGACACCCCAAAGAGGAGCAGAGGCAGGCAGACCACCCATAGCTAGAAAAATGGTTTTCCTTCCAGCTAGACAACAAACAAATCATCAAAATGGGTTTTTAGTTCTTAAATATATGCTTAAGAGAGTTTGTTTTTAGGCTAGGAGTTATGGTAGTTTTAAAGGTAAAAAAAAAAAAAAAAAATTATATATATATATATATATATATATATATATATATATATATGGCTGTGAATAAAAATCAATATAAAGATTAATATCAATGTTTGTAAAAACGATTGAATATCATCTAGTTTTTAATATTGATATACCTCCCTACCCCAGGGGGCGTTATTACGGGGGTCCAAGGAGTTAAAAAAACAAATGCAATTTGAAAGTATTGTAAAGGTGTGGTATGGTATATTGGAAACACAACTAACTTGCAGGCTCACCTACAGAGGCACAACACTAGCAGCACCAAAGACGCAAGAGAAACCTGTATACCAGAGGCAAATGACTTTGGACAACACCACTGTCATGGGAAAATAGTTGATTTTTCTCAATTCTGAGAAAAAAGTCAGAATTCTGACTTTTTTTTCCCATGTTAAACTGAAATAAAATGTAAAAATCAGTAAACTTTTTTTTTTTTTTTCAGTGGCCCTAATCCTCTTCCATAAGTTATCAGATTGGATGTATATAAAAAACTTCCTCTTTTTGAATTATTTTGAAGTTTCATATTTAATGGATGCTTGGATGAGGAATCGTAGATGGTAAACTGTTTGCATCCGTCTGGAAAAATGCAAAAGAAAAATAGACCAAAAAAATTTGAGTCCCTTTTTAAAAGGAGCCTCATCTGGTTTAGATATTGTTCTCTAAGCAGCCTCTATACTCTTCTTACCTCTGCTTTAAGGCCAAATCCAGCAACATTAAAGCTACTTTACCCTGAAAATACTCTCAGCAGCCTTGGTGAGTGATCAGACTAAGGTTTTTTTAGGCAGCAGTCCAACAAAGGTTGATTCATTAAGTCATTCTAGTAAGCAGACTAGCAATTATTAGTTTGATGTTTGCTTCTTTCCCTGGAGTCGACCATGCCATCATATACCCACTACAACTTTCATCTGAACAAAGAAACAAAAGCTGTGATGATCAGGTTATTTTTGTTTCTGTTGAGTATTTAGCATCATTGAGGCGGCTTTGTTTTGTCAGAAACTCCAGAGGACTGAGGCGGAAGCCTCAGCAGTAGCCGGCAATTACCTGACAAACAGACCATCGTTTTTAGACTGAAGGGTCATGTGTGTAACCGGGGGGAAGAAACTTCAGAGGTTCCTATTCGATTACTCGTTATTTTTACTCTTTAAATGTTTTCCAGTACAATACTGAGTCCTGTTATCTGCAGAAATACTTTGCAGTCATTGAGATATCAGAGACGGACAAGAAGCTGAGTGCAGGGAGCTGCTGGACTGCTTTTAAGATGGTGTGGAAACAAACATTCTATATTAAATGTAGAAGAAACAAAGGAGACGTATGTGGAGCTTAAGAAACAGGAAAGGTCAAACCTGATTAAAACCACAAGAGAAGAAGTTAAGATGGTGGAGGAGTATAAATAGTTTGGTGTTGGGCTGGACAACAGACTAGACTGGAAACGCAACTGTGAAGCGTCTATAAGAGGTTAGAGAAAGGACTACTTTTACTGGCATCCATTAGCCAGCTAGTCTGACTCGTGCTGTATTCACTGCATATCAGTGTGGACAGGTGCGGCTAGAGCCTGATTTCAAAGGTGGGACCAGGACCAGACTAACAGAGTCAGCGGACACCAGTTAGAACCAGTCGGATAACTATGGATGATAAGCAAAAACCTCTTTAAAAAAAAAGAAAAAAAAGCTTCTTTTTTTTCAAATTATAAAGACATATCCAGCTCTTTCCATTGTGGCTGCAAGCTTGACTGTTATGGTTACAGAAAAGCGCATTTGCATTATGGGTAATTCTAGCTCAAGTTTAAACTTAAGCATCCCACCCTGTGATTGATGCAGGTTGTTTTAGACTGAAGAGTCTGAGCCTTACCAGACTGAACTACACTCCGTGTAAATAAGTGGCTGTCCAGGCTAATCATGGGTTGGAGGAGCAACATCAGTCAGTAACTAAAAAAAAAAAGCTCAACAAGCCAAAGAAAAGCTGCTGTTCTGGGAACAACTCTAGAACCTCTGAAGATAATCTAACTAGGACTGAAACGATTAATCGGATTAAAACGATTATTGAAATAATCGTCAACTAATTCAGTAATGGTTTAATTGTTAACTGGAGTATATAGACCATGAAACGTGCCTTTAGCTGACAGAGCAACACATTTAGAGCAGTAACAATGCCAAAATTGTGAAAAAATGTATAAATATTTTATCATTTACAATTAAAAAAAAAACTTTTTCTCCTGTCAATATGCTCTATCCAGAACTCCACAAGTGAAAACGTTTTAGTTTAATTCTGTAAAACAAATCTTCTTTAAGGAACCTTTTGCTATCTAATTATTAATCGATTAATCAGAAAAATAATCAACAGATTAATCGATTAGCAAACTATTCTTAAATTGCAGCCCTAGATTTTACAAAGATGGATTGCTAATAAAATGAAAAGCATCTTTGATGTCTCCAGTCAGAAGCTTCTTCTGATTTGACGTAAGACAGGCAGCTACAGGAGATCCCTACTGTAAATAGCCGTCACCAACAATTTCTCTTAATTAAACTGAACTGAAATAGATCACCGCTGTTAAGAATGTAAGCAGACACCAGGACAAATTTGCTGACTCAGCTGCAGGACTTCAAAAAGGACCCTTACTTTTCATGACTCTTCATTTTGTCAATAAGCCTCAGTAATCTGCTAGAAAACAGTTTCACACAGTGACCACATGGGCATGAATCTCTCACATATTAAAAAACAGGTTTTATATTTGGGTTTTTTATTATGTCATCACTTGTACAGGGTTCCTGCGGATCCTTAACAAGTCATTGACTTCTTCAATATAAAAATAAGGCCTTTAATTGGTATTAAAATGTCTTAAATGAGTCTTTCATAGGTCTTAAAATGGTCACCAAGTCATAAATAGGATTTTATTTTTTTAATTCATATCAAAAATGTTAATAATTCACGATCATTTTTTGACAGCTTAGCTGTAACCCTTATTAGTTCCCTCCTGGCAGCGGAACCAATAAAAACGATGTTGCAAACAGACCTTGGGGTGATGCGCCAATAACTTTTTATTTGGCCAAGAGTTTTTTTTGCATGGCTAAGAACAGTACCAGGTAATGTATATGAGCAAATCCTTTTTTTTCAGCGAGAAGTCATTCAATCTCAGCATGATCTGAATCAGAGTCGGACATGTGAAGAGTGAAAAACCAAGCGGCAAAATCAAGTTACAGAGAAGCAACAGCTATTTCCTCAGTTCTGTTCCATCCTGGTCTCTGCAAGGCCTCTACAGCATCATCAACATCCAAAAAAGCACCAGTAGCACCAAATCTCCAGATAATGTTTGGTGGTACGCCTACAGTGAAAGCAGAGCTATTATGGACTTTAAGTAGGGATCAAAACAAAGTTTTTGAATTGTTGTTAAAAATATATCTGTTATTAGTGTGTTTTCAGCTTTCATCCTATATGGAAAGTTTTTCAAAATAGTAAACATTATTAAAAGTAATGGTTTATGTTAAATCTGTTTATTTAAAATGTAATTAAAATTCTTGGCTTCCTGAGTGATGATTCCAGCCTTTTAACCCAATCAGCCAATGATTAAAAAAAAAAAAATTAAGATAAGATTTGGGAAGTTTTATTTATTTATTTATTTTAGCTATTGTCTATTTTTGTATTACTTTTAACTATCTACTCCTGCTAAATTGGTGTCCAAACGGTTCTTGGGATGGGGGGGTTAAAATATAAATATGAGTATGATGTTGTATGGAAATTATATAATGTACCACTGATGCTCAATAAATTAAAAAAAAAAGATTTGGGAAGTTTATTTAAGAATCTTGAAGTTGAACTTTATTGGACAGAGAGGATGACACCATTAAATTCAACTGAAATTTGCATCTGTCCGCATCAACAAACCAACGGTCTCCTGGAAAAAGGTTTTATGTGGAGTTAGAGAGAAAGACTTATTTGGCCACAATAAGAAGATTTGTTTTATGCAAAGGCTCTACTGTTCAAAGTGTTAAGCACGGCGGTGGAGTTGTCATGCAGTGTGGCTATTTGCTGCATAGAGCAAATGAATAAATTAAGCAGGAAAACTTCCATTTTCTAAAACTCCACCTCAAATCATCACTAGACTGTTAGTTTGATAAAAGGGAGTGCTATAAAGTCAAACACCAAACAAAAAGTTTTAAAAGCGAAGAAGCAGGCTGTCATCAAGCTTTGAAATTGGCTCTCTTTAACTCTTTAGAATCTATTTAAATGCCTGTAAAATGACCTTTGCAATAAAACCAGCCATTTCAATGAGCTCTACCATTTAAAAAATAGAAAGAAATGGTCCAAATATCCAGAGAAACATGCCAGAAGCTATTTGAAAACTAACCCGTGCACTCCGAGCATCATGGCTTGCTAAATTTAACCAAATAGCTTCTAACTAAATAAGATATTTGTGTCTGTTATGAGTACTATTCTTGGTGCAGAGATGAAACTTACAGTGAACTCAAACTTTTTTTTATTATTAAATAATAATTTATTAAATAATTGTGCTTTCTATACTTATGCCACCAGATGAAAAGGGAAAAGTTCACATTAAAATTCCGTTGCCTCCACTTTATGAAGGATTTCATTTGGGTTATTAGTCAAAAATGGACAATTACAGTTTATTTGGTCATTCAAATAAATCCCATTTGTGAAAATCTAATGAAAACCCACAGAAAGCCACACTCCTCATACTACAAATGCTGAGGTTATTTATAGACGGGAGCATTTAAATCCTCCGTTTAATGGTTCTATTTTCAGGTGACACTATCAGATTTCCCTAAGAACCGACTCAGTCTGTCGCCGTTTCATCTTGAACAGCGTGTTTAAAAGAACAAAAGCTGCACTCACAGTGGTATTGCTGACAGGAAGAAATGTGGTAGAATTTCTTTTGTTGGGTGAGCATGCATGTTGGAATTTAATTCAGCTGTCTCTTTAGTGGAGCTGAAATTGCACAAAATGAGCCACCAGCAAAATCACAGTGAAAATGTCTATTAATCAGCACCAATGTTCCTGTTATTTTGCACTCCAAATTGCAGTAGCATCAGCATTATCCTCAGACTGCACTTATGTAATTGTGGTTTGCATCTACGTGTTCTCATCCCAGCCTTCGTAATCACATGGAGATTTTCTTTTTTTCGTTTCTGGTGTTTGCTTCGCAGGAGGAAACGGACTCCACTGAAGGCAAACCTGGTGATCAGATGAAGAAACCAAAAGGACCAGCACCCCAGATTCGACAGAAACAAAAGAAAGAGAGCAAAAAGAAGAGATAAATGTCTCTGTGTCTTTTTGTATTCCGTTTGTGTTTCACAATTAGAAACTAGTCACAGTTATCATAATAATCCACTACATATAAGACACTTCAGAATGATCCTCAGCTTGATCCGGTTGTCAGTCATCACACTCACAATAAATGCCATTTGTTAATACAGCTGCATATTTGATAGTGTTTGTTTTTTTTTATCTTGTCATTTATTATTATGTTGATGTGGATTAAAACTAATAGAAAGCCTCTTAGCTATAAATAATGAATAGATATTTCTTAAAACAGTCTGTTAAAATAAGTAGGTCAGGTTTTATTATAGCTGTTTTTCCCAAACCGATTAGCTCTGCCTCTTGCTTGCAAATATGTTTTTAGATCTCTGTTAAAATATGTTTGTATAAAAGAAAATTGAAATAATATTTGCTTGTTCAAGTCTCTATGTATGTAGTGTTTCAAATGGATCAGTTTTGTTTATCTTAAAATTTCCATTTTATTTGTTTCGGTTTCTATATCAAATCTTAACCTGAAATATAATTTGCATTGGTGCCATATACTGATTTTATTTTAAAAAAAAATTCAAGCCATTTTTTTAACATGGGGGGGCTGTTCAAATTGAAATCGTAAAGAATTTTAAGCATAATATCATTAAAGACGAATTAAAAGAATAATGTTGCATATAGATTACGAATTTGACTCTGAAGTGCTTTAATGTAATTTATTTTGCAAAGAAACGTGGATACTGAAGTTGCCCAAATGTATGTTCAATAAATCCATTTCTGTTCAATTCTAGTTATAAAACTGCATTTTATGTAAAAATAATAGTTTGTTTTATCAAGGTATGGCCAACAATTCCCGTTTAATGTTAAAAATTATACTTTTTTTTTTTTAAAGGTGTCCTGTCTGGCAATGTGGCAATAAGAATAATTATCTTGATGCCAAAAAGAGCCCAACAGATTTTAATTTCACAAGTGGAGCAGTACGGCTATCGCCATAGTTTTCCGCTTGATTTATGCATATAAATAGCTTTATTATAATTCATGCAGAAAGTATTGCAGATTATATGGACACTGCAATTTAAGTAGGACAGGAAAGAAAAAAAGGAGAAAAGATGAAAGAAAGAGGAGATAAAAGGGAGATAACGATAAAACATCTCCAGTCTGCTTCATCACCTGCAAAGAGATGTAAAAAGTTCCATACTAGTTATAAAACTGCATTTTATGTAAAAATAATAGTTGGTTTTATCAAAGTAATAGCCAACAATTGCCGTTTAATGTTAAATATAATTTTTTTTAAAGTGTCCTGTCTGGCAATGTGGTAATAAGAATAATTGTCTTGATGCCATAAAGAGCCAAACAGATTTTAATTTCACAAGTGGAGCAGTATGGCTATCGGCATAGTTTTCCGCTTGATTTATGCATATAAATAGCTTTATTATAATTCATGCAGGGAGTATTACAGATTATATGGACACTGCAATTTAACTAGGACAGGAAAGAAAAAGGAGAAAAGATATAAGAAAGGAGATAAGAGGGAGATGGCGATAAAACATCTTCAGTCTGCTTCATCACCTGCAAAGAGATGTAAAAAGTTCCATACTAGTTATAAAACTGCATTTTATGTAAAAATAATAGTTGGTTTAATCAAAGTGATAGCCAACAATTCCCGTTTTAATTTAAATGATGGTTTTATTAAAGTGATAGCCAACAATTCCCGTTTTAATTTAAATGATTTTAAGTACTGATGAGCAGAGGCGTAGCCAGAAAATAACCAATAAAAATTGAGGGGTGGCCGAAAGGGACCAGAACCTCAGGGTCAATCTACACTGTTCCAACAGCACATCCATATTTTCTAAATAAAGACAAACTATACTTTCCTGAAGCCTTTGCCAACAAATAGATGCATATATTTAAACATCTATGCTGTGTAAATGAAAGGTATAGTGAACAAAATTCTTTCAGCTTTGAGCTCTGGGGCGAACATATTTCAGTTGTCATTACCTACTTTTTTCAATAATCATTCTGAAAAAAAAAGAAAATTAAAACCAACAAACACACACAATGAATTCATAAGTAAGTAATAAAGAAAGTAGTTATCTATGATTTCACAGAAGACTTCTAGATGACTTGTAGAGGCACATCATTTTATCTTTACCCCAAATTATTCAAAATTTTATTCTAAAAAGAGCATGAATTCTGTATCCATCATCTTTAATATTTTTATATTGATGTGCATAATTAACTGCAGGGTTTCTGTTGTCAAGTAGTTAATATATGAAAAATTGTAATGTTTAATAAGTTTGCACATTACTGCTGCCACAGTCTGTATAAGAAGGAAAAAACGGGCCCCATCTAGCTCCGCCCCTGCTGATGAGGCATAGGCGAAATTCAAATTTATAGAAAAGTACCAAATTAATTTTACTTTATTTTAAACAGTTTTAGTATCTAGACCATAAATTTAAAGAGGCATCCACAGAATATTTTTTGTTGGTCTACTACATAAATTCACTTAAGTGTAAAATGCGTCACGTTTTTTGGCGTGAGGAAAGCGTGTTGCTTAGCAACCGAACCCATCGCCCAAAACTAAGCTTACTGCTTTTTATCTCATAAAAAAGCTGTGATTCAAGAGGTGCCGAACTATTGAGTTAATAAAATAAAAAGAAATACCTTCGGCCGTGACGGCTGTAAGACAATAAAAACGGGTTAAATTGTGTTTTCTGCAGGAAACGCAGCAGCGACTTTCTGCAGAATCTTGCGCAACATGACGCGCATTCCCTAAGAACCTTACGCCGCTGCGTAAGAAAACCAGCGTAAACGATCTCCGTTTATATTTCGCTCCCGTGTTTCGTCAGTGATGCGCTTTCCCCTGGTTTCCTCCCCCAGCTCAGCCAGTCTTTTGCTCACTCACTCACTCCACCACTCCTGCTTCGCTGTCGGCTCCCCCCAGCTGAACAGTGTTCGCCCACCGCAGCATAACACCGGCTGTTTTTGCCCTCCTGCTCCTAAAGCCAGCCTCTCATCATGACCTCCTCCTTCTGCGACTCTACTGAGATTCGCTAAATGGGCCTGGCGGCTGGCCTGAGGTTTCTATTATTGTTTTAATGAGGACAGCCGTCCGGATCTGAGCGGTTCTGGCGGTGCGTCTCTGAATCTGAAGACGCGTTAAAGGTACGTTCAGTTTATTCCAGCTTCTGTTTATTATTTTTTTCTCATAGAGGGAATGCTGTTTGGATATTTTAGTTGTTTTTCCTAAAGATCATGGCTTTAAATTTAACAGTGCGTATATAATAGATACAGCCGGTGTAGGATCCCCACGCACCGAGTGGCATTTCATTGTTACCCAGTGAGCGTGGATCCAGTGCCATCATCCAATCATCCAATCTGTGCAGCAGGACGCATTTACTACACCCCTTCAAATCAAACGCGTAAAATGCAAATGTTCGCGTTTGATCCTCGTCGGTCCTTAACATTCTGGGGGGGAAAGGCCAACATAAACTGTGGCACACGATTTAAAAGCCAACTACTGAGTGGAAATTCAAAATGGAGCAGAAACAGCACCTGTTTTGATTCATCAGGCCGCAAACAACCTTGTTTGTCGGATCCAAGACTCTCTTCTTGTTTTGATCTCATTCATAAATCTTTTTTTTTTTTTATTGTTTATCTGGTATGGATCATTCAGAGAAGCAGCCAGTGGTGTTATTTTATTTATTTTTTCTATGACTATGATTATTTTCCGTTTTTTTTCCTTCTATATTCAGTTTGACAGCTGCTGCTCCCAGCTGCCACCCCACCCCGTGTTTTCTTTGAAAGCAGCTTTGCTGACAACTGGTGTTTTAATCTCGTAGAAATAGAATTTTTAATTGTGCAATTTATCTGTTTTCAGTTGGTTTTGGAGATTTTTTTGCTTCCAGCTAATTTCCACAAACCACTGGATTCAGTTTTTACTATGAACAACTTAAAGGATTCCAATGAGTCTGATCTTCAAACCTGAGCAAAATCAAGCATCTTATTGGGTTGCCATAAAAAAAAAAAAATCGAACATGTTTGAAAAAGTACAGAAAAAAAAGATTTTGTTTTGGATGTAGGCTGCTCAATTTTAATTATTAGTTCCAAACATTAATTTATGTGTTCTCATTTCCTTAAAGCTAAATCTCATAATCTCCAGTTTTAAGTAAATAAGGAACAGCAAACATTAGAAAACATGTTTGTTAGACCTTTAAATCTGTTTAAATAAGGCTTTCTGGTTATTCCGTAAATATTTCACTGTACAAATCAAACAAACTGATGTTTTAGCATATTTTCTGGAATCTATTCAGATTGTTGTATTTGAATTTGACCAAAAATCTTATAGAGTATATGCAAATATGAACAGTTTTATTATGAGTTCACATAATACAAATACAAGATTCTTTATTTTATTGAGGGATCTGTTAAACCAAGCTTACAGTTTATTTTACAAGCTGACCTTACAGTTAAAATTTGTTGAGTTAATGACTTGTTGTCCATTCCTGATACCAGAGGATCATTGCGTCCTGTAAAATTAATCATGCAGAAGCAGGCGTTCCTTATGGTCTGGATGAGTGGCTGCCACAGCCTTCAGTCAAAGATGGATGGAATGGAAGCGTTTTTTTGTTGTTGTTGTTTTGTTATCAGCAGAGCTGTAGTCCCTCCTTCTCTTCTCCTTTTTGTTTTCCTGTCTGTGTTCTCTAAAAGCTTCCCAGGTTTGCACTTTTCTTACTGTGTTAGGTTAATTAAGGAAAGATCTTAAAGGGCTTGTTTTATTTTGTTGTGCCCAAATACAACCTCACTTGACGGCATGGTGAAATTGTCTTTCCCTTACGTCTCTGTGTCACTGCACATCTTAAAGCAAGGGAAGACGGCACTCCTAATGTCCACATTTCCTCTTGTTTGGATCTTTGGAAGCCATTGTGGGCCAGACCCAAGCCCCCCTCCCCTCCCACCCCCATTCCCTGGGGTAAACTGTAATTTCCCCATTGAACTGAAACACTGTGTGGTGCCCCTTCAGTGTCTGCAGCACAAAGTGGCAACTGCTACTGTCTGGATGAGGTGGATTTTTGTGGTTTTGCTGCTCATGTAACTTTTACCGTGAATCCTCTTCAGCTTTAGATTGTGCTTAAAGTCCAGTCTAAAAACTGCAGCTCCACTAAAGGAAAGTGTGCATGTGTTGGTTTGTGGAGGATTAAATAGTAGGAATATCTGACCATATATTTGATTATAGTGAAGGGATCTTTAAATCCAAACTTGTTTTTGCCGTTCTTTCCTCTAACGCTAACTATAGTAGCCCTTAAGAGACTTAAAGCGTGGCATTAAAGCATATGAGGCAAATTTTCCAAACATTTCTTCACCAAGACTACACATCAGGTCCTAATGAGAAACTAACCTGGTTAGAAGGAAACAATAACTCAGATGTTTAGCCTATATGTAAGTGGAAAGATGGAGTGGGATCTTCAGGAATTCCTTTAAACAAGACAAGTTAACTGGTTCTTTGACTACTTTCAGTTTTAGTTATATTTCCCCTTTCGGAGGTGAGAAATGGGCAATTTCTCAGGTCGTCTGTGAACAAATTTGAGGTGTTTCCGTTTTCTTTTAAATGCGACAGTTTCTTTTTATTAAGTCATGCTAGAATAGATTCTTTATAGAATGGGATTCACATTTAAAACTGCACTGAATCTGCTTTTTATGCTTAAAAAAACAACTTTTTTGATGGTTCAATTGTAAAAAATGAATGCTGCTTCAGGTTCATCGGGCCACCATATATGACTAACTTTCTATAATTTGTATTGACTGTTTAGATGAGGTTTGAAGTAGTAATTTTTGGAAGGACTCTTGGAAAACTGTCCTGTCAGTGTGAGTAAATATTGAAATATCCTTCAGCTGAAAGATCTTGTGTGAAATATTTGGTTGGCTTTTATATTTTTGGTGTAAAACTTTCCATATGTTTGGTCTCTGGACCATAGGGGTACAGTACATTGGTGAATGAAGCAGAGGTCAAGATGTTCAGAAAGTTTCAGTTCAAGTTCTTAAATGTTATTAAGCTATAAGCACTAGACATGGACTTGTTTGAAAAGTTAAACTTCTGTTCACCTGATTTTAATTCTCTTTATTTATATAGAACCAATTCACATCAGATATCATCTCAGGGGAAATTACAAAGACGATACAGTCAGATTGGTTAAAAGTTTCCATCTAGGAAAACCAGTTGACTCGTCAGCCATCCCCCCACACCAGGCATGCATGCAGCAACAGTGGAGTGAAAAACTCCTTTTAACAGGTTCTAAACCTCCAGGAGAACCAGGCTCAGTGTGAGCGGCCATCTCCCAAGGCCGACTGGGGTTAAAGGAAATTGAAGCAGACATATAGAAAGAAGCAGAGATACAAAAGGTAACTGTTATTGTAAACTAGCTACACAGTCAGCCACGTACTGGAAAAACAGCCAGGCAGATGGCCTCCAAATCAGTTCTCATGTGAGTGGATGTAAGAGAGCACATACAGTCTGTCATAGTAAGAGAAACAGGCCTAAACTGAAAAAAGGCCACACTCCAACATCTTTCACCAAAGGTTTTAGTGGCAGCTCAGCTGATATTTAAATCCAGATGAAGCGACTATGACAGGAAAAAACAGAGAGAGCATAAAGTTATGGGTGGAACAAACCAATGCTGCAGAATGGGAAAATAAAGACAGAATGAGGCAGGATGACGAAAGGCGTCCCTTAGTTCTCCAGCAGTCTAACCTTATAGCAGCATTAGTATTGAAAATATTTCTGACTAGTTTTATTCTATCACAATTACTATATTCCCTCAACACTTTCTCCAAGTGCATTAAGTTACTAAGCTTAATCCCCCACTGTCCGGATGTTACGGCTAAGAGCAGGACCTTGCACCTTGTTTGAACATGTTTTGTTTTGCAGAGATATTTGTGTCAGTGTAGCAAAAAGTACTGGAATAATAACCATCAGAAACACATCTTGGCTTCACTATGACCCCATGGAGGAGATGTCGCCTCACTGAGGTCGTTCACTAAATGATTCATGCCACCATGCCAATTTACCAGTCCTACGAATCCTTTTAATGAAGCTTTGATCTGCTGCTGTATAAATACGTCAAATACAGAGGGCATAAATGTCAGCAGGATACCGCTTGAGGATCATTTTGCAGGGCTATAGCTTTGAATTTTAATGTAAACTATACTATAAAGACTCCTTTATAGAATGTGATCTAGAAGAGCAGTTACAGAAAAGAGAAAATATGTGAGTTTAAACAAAAAAATTAAAGGAAAACAGTTGGTGCATGCATGTAAAAGGAATGAATTTATTAGCCTCATCTACATGTATCTTCAGTACTTGATAGGTGTTGGTACTTGCCTGCTTTCTTAACCTGCATTCCTTTCAGCTATCTGAGCGCTCTTCCTTTATGCTCTCCTTCTCCTGCCCATAATTTCTGTTCTTCACTCTCAGTATTCAGTTCATGTACAGAAATGGGTCATCGAGTTCATAAGACCCCATCAGGTCTGAGACGGTGAGGAAGACGGGGGACTGATGAACGGGAATCAATATGAAGTGCTCTTGAACTCCATTGTGAACTAAAGGTAGCTCAGAATGTCCTTTTGAGTAAACCAGGATTTGGATTTCCCTTTTTTTTTACTTCTTTTTTTATATCTCTCATACAGGAAAACATTTATATTCTAATTCAAATGTTATTTTCCTGCATACATTGTCAATAAAAGTAGTTTGTATTTTGAAGACGACAGAAAAATCGGAAATAAAACAATGAGACAGCAACCTAAGAATGCTGTTATTTAGGATTTATGCTTGAAGTGAAGATGAAAGATGTGAAGCAATCAAAGCAACAGGAGCTGGAAGGAGCTTTTGTTTCGTATCCACCCTCTTTGTTAAAGCAGCACACACACACACACCTTCATCTCCCTCCCTACTTCCTTCCTCCTGCCCTGCCCTCCTGCTGCTCAGGTGGCTGTTCGTTTTGCAGTCTCTGGCAGCCTAAGCGATGCAGGCAGCTTGTCCCACGTTCCTCTACACCCCTGTCATATATTGAAACACTCGCAGACAAGATGTTCTTTTTTTTAAATCTAAAATATTGCAAAATATTCTGTTATTACATTTATATCTTTACTTTAAAGCACACTTTTAAATA